TTGGTGAATTTGAAACAGGTGTCTCCAAGAAGGGGTGATCAAACAGTAAGCTAACTAACAACTAACGGTTAGCATTAACAGAATGGATTCCACTGAGCCACTCTACAGCCAGAATATCTATGAAGGGACTAAGGAAGTCAACACCTACATTAAGAAAGTTGAATCCAACCCTGACATAGTAGCATGGGTGCCCATTTCTGGGTGGAATGGTGGCAACATGCTACAGCCAAGCTCTAACCTGCCTTGGTTCAAGGGATGTAAAGTCACCCATAAAGATTGCAATGCCAGTGGAACCATGCTGCTTGAAGTTCTGAATTACATCCTGGCCCCCTGACAAGCCCTTGCATCCATCCCTCCAGAAAGTTCAGTTCAGTTCAGTTCAGTTGCTCAGTCGTGTCCGATTCTTTGCAACCCCATGGACTGCAGCATGCGAAGCCTCCCTGTCCATCACCAACTTCCAGAGTTTACTTAAATTCCTGTCCATTGAGTCAGTGATGCTATCCAACCATCTCATCCTCTATTGTCCCCTTCTCCTCCCACCTTCAATCTTTCCCAGCATCAGGGTCTTTTCAAATGAGTCAGCTCTTCGAATCAGGTGGCCAAAGTTTTGGAGTTTCAGCTTCAGCATCAGTCCTTCCAATGAATATTCAGGACTGATCTCCTTTAGGATTGACTGGTTGGATCTCTTGGCAGTCCAAAGGACTCTCAAGAGTTTTCTCCAACACCACAGTTCAAAAGNGTTCCATGTCCAGTTCTAACGGTTGCTTCCTGACCTGCATATAGGTTTCTCAAGAGGCAGGTCAGGTGGTCTGGTATTCCCATCTCTTTCAGAATTTCCCACAGTTTATTGTGATCCACACAGTCAAAGTCTTTGGCATAGTCAATAAAGCAGAAATAGATGTTTTTCTGAAACTCTCTTGCTTTTTCGATGATCCAGCGAATGTTGGCAATTTGATCTCTGGTTCCCCTGCCTTTTCTAAATCTAGCTTGAACATCTGGAAGTTCATGGTTCATGTACTGTTGAAGTCTGGCTTGGAGAATTTTGAGCCTCCAGGAAAGATATCTACAAATTTGATGATGCTGGTACTGCCTTTGTGGGTCGAGTGTAGACTGGTGTTCTCAACACTGGTATGGTGGTCACCTTTGCCCCAGCGTTACAACTGAAGTGAAATCTGTTAAAATGCAGCATGAGGTTTTGAGTAAAGCTGTCCTTGTGGTCAATATGGGTTTCCTTATCAAGAACTTGCCTGTCAAAGATGTTTGCTGTGGTGATGTGACTGGTGACAGCAAAAATGACCCATGGATGGAAGCAGCTGACTTCACAGCTCAGGTGATTATCTCAGACCAGCAGGCCAAATCAATGCTGGATATGCCCCTGTGCTGGACTGTCAGTTCACATTCTTGCAGGTTTGCTGAGCTTAAGGAGGTAATTGATCATCATTCTGAGAAAAATCTGGAAAGTGGCCCCAAATTCTGGAAATCTGGTGATGCTGCCGTCACTGATACAGTTCCTGGCAAAACCCATGTGTACTGAGAACTTCTCTGACTATCCTCTTCTGGGTCATGTAGCTGTTCGTGACATGAGACAGACAGTTGCTGTGACTGTCACCAAAGTAGCAGACAAGAAGGCAGCTGGAGTTGGCAAGGTTACCAAGTCTGCCCAGAAAGTTCAGAATATTACCCCCAATACCTCCCACCCTCATCTTAATCAATGGTGGAAGAATAGTCTCAGAACTCTTTGTCTCAATTGTCCATTTAATAGTAAAAGACTGGTTAATGATAACAATGCATCATAAAACCTTCAGAAGGAGAGGAGAATGTCTCAACCATTTGCTTTATATGTGGCAGTTTTAAGTTAGGTTTTAAAATCAGTGCTTTTTAATGGAAAAGACCAAAAATCTGTCACAGAATTTTGAGACTCACTGAAACAAAGTTTAATGAGAAAATAAAACGTTGAGTTACCAGTCTACTAGAGGAGCTGGTTGTGGTGAGTTTTGAGGAAAATGGGCATCCCCTTGCAAGACAGTTGCCCCGGATGAGATCATTATAAAATTTTCAATTAAGAGAAAGATAGTTTTTACAAATGTTCCTTCAATCACTAAGTTGTGTCCAACTGTTTGCAACCCTTCAGACTGCAACACACCAGGCTCCTCTGTCCTCCAGTGTCTCCTGGAATTTGCTCAAATTCACATCCATTGAGTCGGTGATACTAACCATCTCATCCTCTGCTGCCCCCTTCTCCTTCGCCTTCAATCTTTCCCAGCATTGGGGTTATAAAATACAGGAAGACAAACTTCTTTCACTGACAAAAAAAAGCTCAAAGTGACTCATAAGTTTGAAATTATCAGTTTCCCTTGTCCAACTAAATGACCCCACACCAGACTTCAGTGTACTCCTTCCCAATCAGTCTCCGAATTTTCACCTAAATAGCTTGACTGGGGTTTGAATTCAATTAATATTTTAATTCTGCAATCCATAATTATTGGTTAATTGATCCCTTTATCATTATATGATGACCGTTTTATCTCGTTACAATTTTTACCTTAAAGTCTATTTTTTCTGATATAAATATAGCCATCTCTGCTCTGTTTTGGTTTTCAGTTGGGTGGAATATCTTTTCCCATCCCTTCACTTTGAGCCTGTGTCTGTCCTTAAAGCTGGGTTTCCCAGGTGGTTCAGTGGTAAAGAATCTGCCTGGTGATGCAGGAGACCCAAAAGAGGCAGGGTTTGATCCCTGCAGGTTTGATCCCTGGGTTCGGAATATCCCCTGGAGTAGGAANGCTGTATCTTCATTCTTTCTTGTATTCTATTGCTATCTCAGTCATGACATATACTTAACTGTAATTAACAGCCATGACGAGGGTCATGTATATATGTATTTATACATATATGTGTGTGTGTGTGTGTATACACACACACACACACACACACACACATATATTTTTTTTTTAAGGTGAAAAAGTTATCATCATTCTCTCTTCCCCCAGTGTTTCACACTGGCAGTCTTTGCTGGCAGGGTCAACTTTTTTAAAACATCAATTTCATCACATCTTGTCCTATGCTTAAAAAGCACAAAATAAAATCCAAATTCCTTAATTTATTGTGAATAACTCTTTACAGTTGAAAAATTACATTTTTGGCCTCATCTTGTGCCACTTTCTGTTATATAACTATGCTCTGCTATGAAAGCTTCAAATACTTTTCAAACTTTCACTCTCTAGAATGTAATGTTCCTTCTGCCTCAGATACTCTTTCCCCTCTCCTTTACATACACAAAAAGTCTTACTAGTCACTTAAAATCAAGCTTGGAAATCTATTTTTCTGTGAAAGCTTCTCTGACCTCCCTGGGTAAATTAATTGCCTCTGTGTGTTCCTTAACATTGTGTATATGTCTCTACTTTTGTCCTAACAGATGGTATTGCATCTGTTTATCCTGTGTTCTCTCACTAAACTAGGAACTCTTCAAAAGCAGGTCTTATCCATCTTTAAAAAAAAATATTTATGTATTTATTTGGCTAGGCCTGGTCTTAGTTGTGACACGTGGAATCTTTAGTTGTGGTGTCTGGAATCTAGTTCCCTGATCAGGGGTCGATCCGGCCCCCTGCATTGGGAACACCAAAGTCTTAGCCACTGGACCACCAGGGAAGTCCCTTATCCATCTTTTTAAGCCCAATGTCTGCCTGCATATAGAAGGTCCCCAGTAAAAGTTTATTGAGTTTAATTTATCTCGGTGCATCTAAACAAAACCAATGAAAAGGAACAGGAAGAAGTTTTCTAGCAGGAGATGGACACTGTAAACAAAGCAGCCTGGGAGAATGCACTGTTGGGACCTAGCCAAGAAATCAATTTTATCTTATTTATTATTTATGCATTGCTTCAAAAAGACTTTGAGGCAGCTATTTTTAAGTGTTCGACACTGTTGTCTCCAAAGGCAGTACATTGGGTTTATTCGAGCAGAACATATGTTGCTAAAAAGAAAGTGAATACTCCAGCACATTATACATGTGTGCTAAGTCACTTCGGTTGTGTCTGACTCTGCGACCTGTGGATTGTAGGCCTCCAGGCTCTTCTGTCCATGGGATCCTCCAGGCAAGAATACTGGAGTGGGTTGCCATGCCCTCCTCCAGAGGATCTTTCCAACCCAGGGATCGAACCTGCATCTCTTATGTCTCCTGCATTGGCAGATGAGTTCTTTACCACTAGCACTACCTGAGTAGCCCCTGAAAGTGAAAGTGAAGTCGTGTCCGGCTCTTTTCGACCCCGTGGACTGTAGTCTATCAGGTTCCTCTGTCCATGGGATTTTCTAGGCAATAGTACTGGAGTGGGTTGCCATTTCCTTCTCCAGGGGATCTTCCCAACCCAAGGATTGAACCCGGATCTCTCTCATTGTAGGCAGACACTTTACCATCTGAGTAGCCCCTAGCACATTATGAATAAACCATTTCACATTTAAAAGTCCGTGGATTGTAACTTTCCTAGAGGAAGAAGTCATGTGTATGAAATTTACTTTTTATGTAGCACCTAGTGACACAAACTCTTAAATGATTTTTGGCACCACACTGATTTTGATCATCTGTGACTGAATCTGTAGTCATCTGCAATGAAGAAGGGGAGGTGGTAATTATCCATTTTTATTGCTTAGTATGAATAAATAAACCATATAAATCATATTCCTCTCAGAACTCCCCCCTCCAAAAATACTTTTTAGCAAGGTTATTATTCTAATGTCTGTCTTTTTCACACAAACTAGGTAGCCAAAAGAGTATCACTTCATTTAACTTTGTAATTTTAAGAATTAATGAGGATGATGATAATGTTCTAAAAATTCAATTGCATTACTGTTGCTGGTTTGTTTGTTTTTTTATACGCTAGTGGTGATGACTACTGTGGTACTCTCCTGTTTCCCTTAACACTGGCCTAGTACTAATCTAGCTTTGGTCAGTAACAACAGTAATAACAGTAACACAGTTTGAGAAGTTTACTGGTTGAGAACTTATTACCATTCAATAGAATGGTGGGATGAGGTGGGGGTGGGGGCAGGTTTTGGTCTTTCAGAGCATTTTTGGTTGTTTGTTAATGTTTTCTTTCCCTCTTTTTGTTATTAATACTAGTCTGGTAATACTTTTCCTTACCATTTGGTGATACCTTTTTGTGGTCAAGATGAGTGAGTCAGCACCTCAAGAGGAACCTAAACCTGCTCAGGTATCTGGTCTGCATAGTTTCTAACCATTTAACCATGAGAGGATTTGAGATTCAACATTCTTGGGGAAATTGAGATGCAATGTCGTATACTATCATTGAATTATTTCTCTTTTTAATTGAAGCGTTCTGCATTAAGTTTTGACGAAAATGGGGTCAACTAATAGTTACATCACAGTGGCCTGCTTCCAGTTGCTTGGTATTCTTGGTATATAACAAGTCTGTTATTGTTTGAATTTTTTAATACAGCTACTCTATGTGATTTTATTTGGTATGATGTTTACTCATGTGAATTATTTACATAAAAAATTTTGCTCTGCTAGAGTATAAAACATTAGTTTTATTTCCAGCCCCTATTGGATACCATTTACTAAAACTATGTCCATTTCAGGAAAATGGAAAAGAAGACAAAGAAAGGAACCAGGAAGGAAGTGAGGCAGAAGAGCCTATTCAGGTAGAGTTTTCATGAATAATCGGATGTTAATGCTGGAGAGTAACTGGAGAAATTAATTTTCCTAGGCAAAAAAAAAAAAGAAGGTGTGGGTATTCAAAAAGATAAAATGGCAAATGGGAAAAAACAAACCCATGTTGATCATTAAGCTGACTCATCTGAGTCAGTTTCAGGATACTTCCACAGAGAGGTAAATTATTTGTGAAGAGCTATTATGACTTTATAGAAATGGTATGAACCTAACAGAAGCTGAAGATATTAAAAAGCAGTGGCAAGAATACACAGAAGAACTGTACAAAAAAGATCTTCACAATCCAGATAATCACAATGGTGTGTTCACTCACCTAGAGCCAGGCATCCTGGAAGTCTGTGGGCCTTAGGAAGTAAAGTGGGCCTTAGGAAGCATCACTACAAACAAAGCTAGTGGAGGTGATGGAATTCCAGTTGAGCTATTTCAAATCCTAAAAGATGATGCTGTGAAAGTGCTGCACTCAATATGTCAGCAAATTTGGAAAACTCAGCAGTGACCACAGGACTGGAAAATTGTCTGTTTTCATTCCAATCCCAAAGAAAGGCAATGCCAAAGAACGCTCAAACTACAAAAAAATGCTCATACAATTGCACTCATCTCACATGCTAGCAAAGTAATGTTCAAAATTCTCCAAGCCAGGCTTCAACAATACGTGAACTGTGAACTTCCTGATGTTCAAGCTGGTTTTAGAAAAGGCAGAAGAACCAGAGATCAAATTGCCAACATCTGCTGGATCGAAAGCAAGAGAGTTCCAGAAAAACATCTATTTCTGCTTTATTGACTAGGCNGTTTGATCCCTGTTTGGAAATCTAAGATCCTACATGCCTTGGAGCAATCAAGCCCAAGCGCCATAACTAGAGCACTCATGTGCTGTAACTATTGAGCCCATGTGCCACAAATGCAGAGTCCAAGTGCCCATAAAGAGAGATCGCACATGACCCAGTAAAGATCCACATGCTTTGACCAAGACCAGCATAAATAAATATTCTAAATTAACTTTTTAAAAAGTGTATTAGGATGAGTACAAAAAGCTATTTTACCACCATTTATTCATAAAGCTAAAGTTTACTTTTCTTAATGAAGATGAAAATGTTTTTCTCCCCACCACAAACTTGGAAAGTGATTCTAATAGTCAAAGAAAACAGCAGCATTTTCAAAGGTTCAGAGATTCGATTTCACTCCGTTATGGTCTCAAATTATGTTTTTAGAAAGTATTGTATAGTTCAAAGATTAATGTACATCTGGAATAATATTCTTAGCCTATTTCTTTGTTAGCCGTAGGAAGATATGATGACATGGTGAACCAATGAATGTAGTAAATAGACTGTGATTATTGCTTTGCTTCTAATACACAGTGTTAAATCCTAGGAAAATCAAGGAGGAATGTTTGGCAATTTTTACAAGGAATTTATCTGCATTCTTTCTTTGGGAGAGCTGATGCAACTTTGATGAAAAACAATTTATTTTTTAACTGGTATTTCTTTTCTCCTTTCAGTATTCACAGAGTATGTCAGACAGTTCGGCAGTAGGCCCCTGCAGCAGTGTGACAGGAGCAGCAGCAAACAAAAAATCCCAAGGTAGAGAACTAGCTTTTCTCCTACACACCAGAATGTAAAACTATTACGAAGTTTTCATTGGGGAGGGATTCTTCAAGACTTTGCCTTTCAAAAATATAATACCAGGAATGAATACACACACACATACTTTATTTATTGTTCACTTGCTCAGTTGTGTCTGACTCTTTGCAACCCCATGGACTGCAGCACAGCAGGCTTCCCTGTCCTTTACCATCTACCAGAGCTGGCTCAAACTCAGGTCCATTGAGTCAGTGATGCCGTCCCACCATCTCATCCTGTCGTCCCCTTCTCCTCCTGCCTTCAATCTTTCCCAGCATTAGGGTCTTTTCTAATGAGTGGGCTCTTCACTTCAGGTGGCCAAAAGTACTGGCGCTTCAGTTTCAGAGTCAGTCCTTCTAATGAATATTCAGGGTTGATTTCCTTTAGGATTGACTGGTTTGATCCCCTTGCAGTCCAAGGGACTCTTAAAAGAGTCTTCTCCAACCCACAATTCAAAAGCATCAATTCTTCAGCATTTTGCCTTCTTTATGGTCCAACTCTCACATCCATACATGACTACTGGAAAAATCATAGCTTTGACTATATGGACCTTTGTCAGCAAAGGTCTCTGCTTTTTAATACACTGTCTAGGTTGGTCATAGCTTTTCTTCCAAGGAGCAAGTGTCTTTTATATACATATATATGTGTGTATATATAATATATATATATTTTTAACTATAGCATGCGACATGTGGAAACTTAGTTCCCTGACCAAGGATAAAACCCAAGCCCCCTGCAGTGGAAACAACCGTCTTAACCACTGGATAACCAGGGAAGTTCACCCAGGGTTATTTTAAATGCAATTTGGGAAATAGTCAATGCAGGAGACCTGGGTTCAATCCCTGGGTTGGGAAGATACCTTGGCAAAGGTATCAGCTACCCACTCCACTATTCTGGCCTGGAGACTGTATGTCCATGGGGTCGAAAAAAGTCAGATAGGACTGAGTGACTTTCACTTTCACTTTGAAATATATTCCCTTCAGACGTACTGTATAGCACATGGAACTGACAGCACATGGAACTCTATGTTATGTGGCAGCCTGGATGGGAAGGCAGTTTGTGGGAGAATGGATACATGTATATGTTTGACTGAGTCTCATTACTGCCCACCTGAAACTATCACAAGGTTGTTAACTGGCTATACCCCAATACAAAACAAAAAGTTTAAAGAAAAAATATATTCCCTTTACTTTCTATTGATACTTTTGAAGCAACTTTATTAATCTTGTACTTAAAGAGAAAATTTACCTGAGAGTGGACTGACACATAGCAGACAACCCATAAATACAAAAATCTAGTGATTCGACCTGTTTGTTGTCTTTCTGTTTCTTCTTTTTACCTCTGTACTTGACAACACATTTGTTCTGTTTGACATTTAGCCCAATCCTTAATCCAAATTCTACATGATTATGCAGGTTGAAAATTTATATGATCAAAAGGCAACTAAATAGGCAAGATAGTCATCCCTTTTACTGCTGTTCTTCTAATTTTAGATACTTAGTGAAATCCTATACTACATAAATTTTTCACAATATTTAAAATTTAACAATTTATATTTTTTCTTCTTTATTTTTATTTTTCTTTTTTGTTTATTTTATTTATTTATTTTAACAATTTATATTTTAATTGACATTCTTTCGAATTTAGTTTACAACTATCAAGTGTTTAATATGTGCTAGGCTGAACTGTAACAATAATTATTAAAGCATTTTCTAAACTATAATTTGCTATATAGATGCTAGCTATGACTTACTTATAGATGCTTACTCTTCTCCAAAGTATTTTTCTGTGTTTTAAACCAATTAAAAAATTTATTTACTATTTATTCTTATTAGTTCATATTATAATACATACACATGAAGAATCAAACTATTCAGCATTTATTTTGCCTTTATTATAAACTTTCACAGTTCACTAACTTTTAAAAAGTTTCTTGGCAAGTCCTTCCCTCCCTGCCCCCTACCACCAGTTTCCTGATTTTGCTTCCTCCTCACTCCCTCCCTCCACCACCACTACCCCATAAATCCCTTTGCCTTTACCATACTCACATGGACCAGGTTTATGAATAAACTCTTTCATTTTAAACTTGCTAAACAGAATTGTGATCTAGGTAATTTCCTATAAATTTAATTAGGTGTTCACTTTAATCAGTTTATGGCCCAATCTGTACCTGCAAATTACTATTCTTTAATTTATTGCCTCTCTAGAAAACTTGTCAAGAGTTTATGGTCTTTCCTATTCTCATACTTTGAATTTGTTACTGCTTTATAATGTATGATAGAGGGAAATGTATTGTTTGAGTAAGTCTGTTCATCCCAGTATATGATATACATTGAAAATATTGCAGTTGCTTGTTGCAATATCAAATGCAATGCAATGTATTTATTTATTCAGTGATCAGTCACTATTAAGTTTAATATTCTAAATCTCCCTTTGTAAATATGTATGTGTTTCTGTATGTGTATGTGTGTGTGTGTAATCAGTGGGAAGAGAAACTGTTTTCCAAATTTCACAAAAGAAGTGTCTTTATCTTTGTTATATGCTGTGCTATGCTTAGTTGCTTCAGTCTGTCTGACTCTTTGTGACCGTGTGGACTGTAGCCCACCAGGCTCCCCTGTCCATGGGATTCTCCAGGCAAGAATACTGGAGTGGGTTGCCATGCCCTCCTCCAGGGGATCTTCCCAACCCAGGGATCAAACCTGTGTCTCCTGTGGCTCTGCGTTGCAGGCATATTCTTTACCACTAAGTCACCAGGGAAGCCCATCCTTGTTATATACTTGTCAAAATTAAAATGATATTATTTTGCCAGGAAGCTCCCAGAATACACTCAAATACTTATCTTTGCACAGAAAATATTGTGCCTAAATGTACCATGTGAATTCCTCATTTCTTTCCCTGGTTATTACATTTTTCAGACTATGAGCTTAACTTATGTTTTGAGAAATTATATTTCTTTTTTTATTGATTTGCTCAGCTTTATTCTTATTACACAACCCTAAGTTTTAAAAAATTCAGCAGGAAAATACCTTTTCCTTTAGCTATTGAATTTTAATGCCAATAGTTTTAATAGTGCTTCTTTTCCTCCTCTCACAGTAGTTTTTCTATATTATGTACAACTGTTAAGAAATCCTAACATGATCAAGCCAGCTGAGCTTCAAACAGGACCTGTGTTTTAAGAGAACATGGCACATATGTTGAGTAGCCCTGCTGGGTCAATTTTCACCAGTTTAATCAGCAGCCAGTCCCTCTAATGTTGTATGCCTTCTGTGAAGAAAGAGTCTGCTAGAGGTTATTATAATGTGAATTATAATTCATTCCTATTTGTGTCCTTAAATAGAGTTGTGCTGAGGCCATGCCCAGCAGTGGGCCAGGTACTGAGTGCAGAAAATGATGAAAGTCATTTATAAAAGTAATTGGACTTTTCAGAATATGAATAAGGAATTTTTTTTGTTTGTTTCTACTTCTTTAATTGAAAGCATTTGTGCTCATAGAGCCTGAATAGGACTTTGTATGTTAGAAGGTGGGTTGACACAGAGGTGAAGATGTGCATGTTGGGTAAATATTTGAAAAGCTCTTAATTCCATAGAAGTTTAGAAAGTCCTGAAAAAGAATTTCAGTGCTTAGCATAGTGCCTGGCACTATGACATTAATAATTACTTATTGAGTAAATATGTAAATGAATCAATCTATCTGTAAAAGGCTTAGGAGTATATAAGCATAGGCTAAAAAACCCAGTATTTGCTTGAAACTGTATTCAATTAAACTCCTTAATTAAATTTCCATTGGGGCAGTTCTGTAATTTATGAATTCAGAGATCACCTAATCAAAGGACTGCTACTGATAGGCTTATTCAGAATCCTGATTTACTGACCCTGCTATTGGTGTGTCTCCTTTTATTTTCTTGGTTTTATGGCTCTGAGAGAGAAGTGTTTGACCAGAGTTGTAACCAAACACACATCTACGTCCATTCTGCATGTTGGTGGGGAGAGAGCAAGCACTAGGATTATTGCTTAGCAACCTGCAGTACCAAGCACCCTCGAGGAGCACTAGCAGTCTGCAGCAAAGATAAGATAATGCCCTAGTTCATTTTTAAGTTTACTAATGAGCCATGCAGATGGCTAGATATTAAGTTGCTATATGTCTGTAGCACTCCCCTTAAAGCAGGAGCAAGAATATCTGCCCTGGGTTATGCTGGAGAGGTTAAAAGGAAAGAGAGACTGCATTTTTTTAACTTAAATTTTGTAAGATAGATTTCTATTGCTCAAATTGAAATTTTAATAATACATCCTTCTTTAAACTCTTCTTCTTGTAGTTTCTGTGATTCTAATGTATCCTGTTTTCCTCCCAATTTCCTAGTCACTCTCAGACTTCTGTGTAAATGTACTTTATCTGCCTATTCTTCTAAAATGTTGCATAAAATTCCTTTTATGGTCCTCTTCTCACTCTAGACACTCTGAGTGAGTTCATCCAATAATAATAATAGTAATAATGACTATAAATGCTTTAGGATATATATGTTAAATATATAATTTCATATATGTATATGTATAATTTTCTCATCATGGTTATCCTACAAAGTATAATTATATTCCCATTTTATAGAAATAGAGTCTAAGTTTATTTTCTTAATCTATAAGGAACATGACTACTATATGTTAGAGCTGAAATTTGAACCCTGATACCTCTTATTCCAATGTCTATAATATTTTTTAACACAGTGTTTATTCATTCATCAAATACTTGAGTGTTGTTTCTGACACTGTTCTAACCACTGCTAACTAAGAATTCAGTAGTAACCAACACAGACAACATATCTTCATTAATAAGACTTAATTTTGAAAGGTGGGTTTAAAAAAGATTATTCTTCCTAAAAGATCCATGGGTTTAGTCAGTGTCATAATGCAAAAAAGGAATATAAAAATTATAAAAGTTATAAAGGAAAAGATAGAAATATCTTTTCT